TAAATATGCCAAAAGAGATCCACCCTTTTGGACACGCCAGGAGGAGCTGCACTGAGCTTGTCTCAGCTAGAAGTCACTCTTAGACTTTGCATAGCTTACAGGTGGAGTCATGGCTTAGTAGTTTCAGTCTGTTTTGCCCTAGACGTTGTTGTGTTTTGTGCAGAGTCCATGGGGAGGGCTGGGGGCCCCTTCCCCTGTGGACCCCTTTCTCTTATGGGCTCCCCTTCCATGGCCCCTTAGTTCACTTCAGAGTTGTGTCCATGAGCAACTACACAAATTGATACCAGAACAATCACTCTGGTTGTACTACAGGATTCAGTCGCTTTCTCTGTACCGCTTATTCACCTTTCCTCTGTTTGGATTTTTCATGTCATTTTCTATAAGGTGTTCTCGAATTCTCGTTCAAAGAAAGGAGAAACTCTTTATATGGTTGTTAAGATTCATTGGGTTGAATGTGGAAATGGGGATCAGAGTAATTTATTTTCAGAGCACACCTGTAGTGCAATAAAATAATTCGCATAGAGTGCACTATACAGTGTTCAAGGTTCAAGGATTTGTAAATATGTTTTTCTGTAATGCTGGATTTGCTCCACAGGCAGGCCATGGCTCCTTGCTCTTTCCATTACTGCTGTTTACTCAGAGTGGTCAGGTGGTCATGGAAGAGAAGAAGAGCAGAGCAAATGACCTGCTTCTAAGTGCCAACTTGCTGGGTTGTGGCTCAGCCAAAGCTCCTTCAGACTCCAGTGAGAGCTTTTACTAAGAGAGGTCTTCAGGGTTTGGTCTTAAAATACCACCTGATATAATGAATGTTGGTGAAAGAGGTTTTTTTTAAATGCATTAATCCCTTCTAACAGGACTCTTACTAGAAGGAATTTTGCTGAACACCAGTGCACAACTATATCTAACTGTGCTGGCTGAGTAAATTGTGATTTGTATAGTGTTATAACTCCAGAGACAGCACCTCTTTAGGGGAACAGAATGAGGTTGTGTGTACAGACACCTGCCATGCAGACATAGACATGTATGTGTGTATGTCTATAAAAATACATGTGATTATGTACTCAAATGATATTTCATCCGTGCTTTCATTTATAATGTACCATGTCACAGTAGAGGGAAGGATCTCAATGTTTTTTTATATTATTTTCCAAAATATCAGCTCAGTTAGAATCCCTTTTAATACAGTTTCCAGAGGAAATGAAGCTTTCCTGGTAATTCTGTGTTTTGGCTTTTACATATGGCCTATAACAATCTTTGAGTTTCATCACCAATTTTAATTAAATTTGATATGGGGGTGGAAGTCCCAGAGATAGGAAGTTTTTACAAGATTAATGAAAACTGGCTGCCAAGTACAGAAGGAAACTCCATTAATACTCGATCTGAAAGAAAGAGTGACGCTTGAGCTCACTGCTTTGAGACAATGAGATATTATGAATGCCCCAACCGTGGGAAAAACTTCAATCAGCACTCACATCTTACTAGACACTAGAGAATCCAACCACAAGATGCACATTCATAGGAAACCAGGCTTCATTAGTTCCACAATTCACTTTGATACATGGAATATAATTAAAAGAAAACTGAACATCTTATGTGTCCTTCCCCTTGAGGTTTCACACCCTTTAACCAGATTGGTCTGTACACTGGGGAGATTTGAGCATTTGGCTCTGGACTAATAAGGAACACGCTGCTTCCAATATCCTGACTCAAAATCTTTTCAAGTATGGGATGAGCCACTGCTATAAGCATAAATCTTCCATTAATTTTTTAGCAAAGAAAGGCATATACAGGACGACATGAAGAAAATCCCAGTTCAGTTTTCATACAGAATATATTGTTGAGCATAATGCTATATGCTTCCAAGCAAAGGTGTGGAAGTTGTTAGTAGGACTTTGTAATCCTCCTGAACAAAGTGCTAGAATGATTTCCAAAGAAGGAACACCCTTGCATTAAGATAAAGGAGGTGACCTGAAAATTTTCAAGACACCAGAAAACCTGTTCCTTGAGTAATGCGCAGAACTTAGGCAAAGTTTAGGTTAAAGCTAAATCCAGTCCTCCTTCTGTGATTAATATCATATTTTTAATTCTCCCTCTTAGGCACAATTGTTCCTACAGGTGATACTAGAAATTAATTAAGTTATTGAGGTTGTGATAATTTATTTAGCTTCCAAAACTGGAATGATTGATTGAATTTTGAAGCAAGTTCCATGGACATTATTTGAAAATAATATTAATTTTGTTCAGGGATATGATGAAGACCAATTGTCTGTTAGACTGTGACAGGGAGAGGACATTTTAAAGGAAAATAACTAAAATCCAGATCTCAGGAAGAGGCTGACAGAGTTCTTCTTTTCAGATCTCTAATGCAACACACATGATTTTGTTTGTTTAATTATCCATGGCTTCAGTTGCTGAATAAAAGTGTCATGGGATCTTTTGGCTTGGATATTCTCCTGATTAGTTATGAAGAAGAAAAAATTAACTAAATTTTCAGGACAAAATTACACAGAAATAATTTCGGTTCGTATGCACATTTTCCCAGACGTACTTGTAAGCCTTTTACACAAGTTATGAAATCTGTGTTGAATTCCAGAAGCTACAGAAGTTGTGGAATACAAAACCACATAACGCAGTACTTTTAATTCTGAGAGAGCTTCTGAAAATGTGAATTCAGATCAATGGATTTAAGTTATGAAGTGTGTATGAAGTGCATATTACAATTTTTAAAAAATAAGTAAGTTCAACAAACTAAGTTTCTAACTGTGTTTTCCTAATCCTCAGTTTTTATTGTTTTCCTAGAATAGCTGGTATTTTACCTCACCTCTATTTGATACTGTAATAAGGTCTTTTTCATTAATATTTAATTAATTTGTACCTAATTTTCTTTAATGATTTAAACCAAATTTAAAGAAATAACTTGATACATCATCAACCTTTACAGCCTCAGAAGTGTATGTATTGACTGTCAAACATACATTATTGCTTAAAAGTTCTACACATCAAGTATATAATTTATATACATTGTAGGCTGAATGTGTTTATAGTCATGAGATTGAATTAAAATTCTTTCTCATACCTTGTCACTCACAGTGCTAAGTCGCTTGGCCTTTGCACAGGGCTGAAAGAAGTCTTCTAACTTGTATAAATGTACTGACTGATGTGATAATCATCTTTCATTTGGCCAGAATGGGACAAGAAGTATCTCAATCGTTAATGTTTTATAACCTGATATATCTACTATGAGAAATTAAATCCTCCTTGCTAGTGGTCACTGAATCACTGATTGACTAGAATTAAAAGTGGAAAGTGACTGACAAATCATCCATTTGTCAGTTTGATTTTGCCATTCTGTGTAGCTACCAAAAAAAAAAAAAAAAAAAGCCCTAAACTATTTATATTGTAAAACACCATTCTCTGTGATAAACTTCCTTAAACTTCCTAGGGCTTTGGCTTTTTAAGCAATTGTCAGTAACCTCTCTCCCTTTCCCTCTCTAGATACTTAGTGGGGTAGGGGGTGCAGGGAGGAGCGGGGAAGAAGTAGATACTTGTAAGTTTTAAGTTACATGGTTTATTTTAAATGACAGAGGAAAATACCAATCCAAGTAATTTTCAGACTGCTCCTTTAAAACCAAGGTTGTAAGTGTTTCTATTGAATCCTTGTCTTTTACCAAAAAGGTTGCTGACGTGAGCTTGTAGGGGGTAGAGATGTGCTCTCAGTGGATGTTTTTTCACTGGCCTCAGTGGATAAACAGCCAAGACAAGTGACTTTACCCTTCACAAGTCTATTTTGTATTTCATAACCTTTTTAATTCTAGGGTGAAGTCTAGTTGCATGCACATGCCATCCTGATGTCTAATGTTTTGTTTTTACTTTGCAGCTTTCAATATTTTTGAACAGGGGTTTGGTTTTCTTTTTTTTTCCCCTGTGTATATAAAAATTACAATCTAAAGCCCTTGTAATATTTAACAAATTACTTTCCCAATGTCCTCAGAAATATATTTGGTTATTATGTATATTTTTAAGCTTTACAACTTCACACCACTGAAAGATAATGTAAAATATTAAGAATACCCATCACTAGGGAATTTTGTATATTTTCATTGGAATGATTAAACATGGGATAAATGTAACATTTTTCTAGAATGTCATACATGTAGGTTTTTTGTCTTTAAAAAGGACAGGACAATCTTACTCATGGTGCTAATGCTAGGATACATGGAAAAGAAAGTTTACTTGAAAGGAGGAATGCTGTCTTGGGGGTGGTGTCACTCCAAAATATTGATTCTGTACAGAGAGGCACAAGAATGGCTGTCTCATTTACAAGATCTTTGACCATCTGATTTTTTTGGTGGGTTGAAATGTATGATCTGTGATATTTGTTACCAAGTAGTGTTATAGACACTGCTGACACAGATCTGATAAGAAACTGGGTCAGCTGACAAGATATTCCCTGTAAGGCTACCTCCCTGTAACATTATGTGTATCCTTCTGTGTGAAGGATTTTCTGAGCATGGCTTGTAGTCTACCGTATAGTTTCATTTGCAGTTATTGTAAAGTTCTTTCAGTCTCCTGAATGATAAAAAAAAAAAAAAAAAAAAAAGGAAGAACTTGTTTAAATCACATTTCTCTTTAAAGCAGAAAAAAAGTAAAACTATTTAGTATTTAATTTCTCAAAGCTTGGCAGTTTTCATGTATTGCTCTGTCAGGAGCCTTGTCTTTTCATTCGGCTTCTTTTCTGATTACAGATTATTCATTTATGGATGGGCAGCTGTAGAAACTTGCTTCTTGCGTATGCAAATTAATCATGGTAATGTTTATCATAAGGAGATTTTGTGGCAGTGGAAAAGGGGTTGTGTCAACATGTTCTTGATTTCAGTTGTATCTTCTACAAATGGAATAGGCCTCCTTGCTTCACCTTCAGTGGATTTTTTTTTTTTTTTTGCCATTTACCTCTTGGACTAGACACCGCTCACTAAGCAAGCTGTTTGATTCACTTACAGATCATGATTTTGGAAGGAGCTGGCAGGATGAGTATCAATTCCAGCAGCAATCTACTCCACCAGCAGCCTTCCTGGACAGATGGATATTCCACATGCAATGGTAGGAGGAATTCAACTGCTCTGAGCCATATTCTCTTTTGGGAGGCCGGGGAAAAATGGGCTGCTACACCTTTAAGCATGTACAAGTATTGTTTTTCAGTAGTACTAATTTACGGAGTTTTACTTCTGGTAAGAAAAATTTTCATTTGTTACTTCATTTGTAAAAAGCTGAACTTACAATAGGGACCAGTTTATTGTTCATTTCCTTACTAGCTCTCTTTCTTAAAATGTAATGGTGTTGAAAGTGCCAGAAGTTCTCTCTTCTCAGTCCAGAATTCTTTCTCTCGTACTTTTACCCCTCGTGCTTCCTCTGAACCAACATTACCATTTAATGCTAATCACCCCTCTGGCTTTACAGGGGAATAGTATTTTTGGTCCTTTATTGTATTTGCTTTTTTGGTCCAGATTACTAGATAGCTTTCTAATTAGACTGGAATTAGAGCACTAGGTAGCTTGTGGCTTGTGATTTTTTTCTCTTTTTTTCTCCTTACTGTTTTCTGATTATATATCCGGGTATATAGAAATGTATTCATATATATTCTCTCAGTATAAAAATATATATAAACGTATATCTCTATAGATGCTTGACATAATTTTAGAATTCTTTTCATTATTCAGTGGACAGGTAAAACTTAAAATCTAAGTGGACAATCATATGCTGCTCTTGTCCTTCAGATCCAGAAAATACTACATCAAAACTTACAATTAAAGTTCCCACTTCATGAAATGCTTATTCTTTTTATGTGTAATTTCTAAATACACAGGAATATATCAACATGTGCTTAAAAAATGTGCCTGTTTTTCTATAACAGTGTCATACAGAAAAAAAGTCATGTCTGAGTTTCACTCTTCCACAGGATTTCACGGAGGGAAATGGTGGGGGTCTATATCAAATTTCCAGGGTGAAACCCCTCAGGATTCACTTACGTTTTAGAGGGACAGGAAGCTCAAAGTTCAGACCAGTCTGCACAGTAATTCACCACTGCACTTACTTTTACCTAAGCTACTTTCTCCTCTCACAAAAGTATCTTTCCTAATATTGGGATTCTAGTGACCTTTGAAATCACTTTACTCTTCTGAAGTGATAAGAATACAAATCAACCTCTTTTTCAGGGGATATTTGACAGCTCCAGCAAACCTTTATTCTCTGACATACCACACTTTAAATAATTTCCACACTCATTCCCCACATCCTTCAATAGGAGGATGAGGAACAGTCCTGCAAACTCCCTAAGTTACTTACACAAGCCTTGTTGGCTAATATTGATAAAGAAAGTTAAATAACTATGGGGTTTGTTTTTGTGTTACCTGGAAAGTGTGTCCTGTACCTCATCTGAAGAGACCTGAGGTCTAATGCACCTGAGTTAAGGTGATTTCCTAAAATGTGCCAATTCTGGTGCGTGTGGTCCTCCTGGCAATATCCACTGTTGTTAGTATTTCTCACTGTGTGGTTAATTTTTTTCTAGAGGAGTCTGGGAACAGACTGGTGCCATATCCTGGAGCGGGGTCCCTGCAGAGCTAGGCCATGGCAGTCTCTCCTCCCTCTGCAATCTCTAATTCCCTCATCCTTAAACCCTTCTTGCACTTGTGAACATTTTATCTCACAGTCACCTCTGTCTGGCATTCCAGTCCATTTTCCTCCTTTCCCAGGGAATAAATTGCACTGAACTCTGTGAGGACAGACAAAGCAATCCTGCCTTTGCTCTTATCTTACATAATGATCCTAGCCCATGTACAATTTCTTCCATTTGCACATGCAAATTACTGTCGTGCAATGACATACAACTGAGAGCAATTTAAGAGATTGCCAAAAAAAGACTCAGACATTCTAACAAGAAAATTAGGCAGCTTCCATAGCTAATAATGAGTTTTATAACTATATTCAGAAACCACTTTACATGACTACAGCAATAATCTGCACCATCAGAATGCCATCTCTGTCATGAAACCATGGCCCACACTGATAGGCTTTTACTGTGGAGCAGCATGAAAGTGCCTTTAACCTTCCTTTTCCTAACCCTACAATTAATATTTAGCCCCTACTAAGTTCTTATTCAAAGAAAGTTTTCACGTCACCTTATGAGAGTTTTGCAAGGCTTTTCCATCATTTTCTGATGCAGTAATTTTCCCACACATCCCTTTTCAACAGTATTTCTGTAAAGTATCTTCCCTCAGAGAATTTTGGTGTATTTAGCCAACATTAATAAGTTAATTCCTGCAAATCAATCAGCCAAGACATGTGTAATGAAACAATGCCCAATTTTTAGTTGGAAAACTGAGGCCAAAACCCCCACAATATCTTCTCCAGCAATAGCTACTGAGCCAATGTTAAGGAGTGAGAAAAGCGTCTAGATCTGTAGACTTCCAAGACATGCAATTTGGCTATAGATCTTATTGTTGATGACTATTATGCTATCAGAGATAGTAAATATTTTTTTTCTTTTCCAGTATCCAGTAGCTTCTATGGAACCCAGTGGCACGAAATACACCCGCAGTACTGGACTAAGTTTCAAGTCTGGGAGTGGCTGCAGCACCTCCTTGATACCAACCAACTGGATGCCAACTGCATACCTTTCCAGGAGTTTGATATCAATGGGGAACATCTGTGTAGTATGAGCCTGCAGGAATTCACTCAGGCAGCTGGGACAGCAGGACAACTGCTTTACAGCAACCTCCAACACCTAAAATGGAATGGTAAATAGATATTAGAGAGAGACACACGCACATTAGTCTGAATTCTGAGATCTTCAGAAGTCATTTACGCTCCCCAGAAGCCTGCCTGGCAGATTATACTTGCTCTGTTTGCTATTCTGCTTATAGCTCATTTATGGTATTGCTAAATTTCTTGGATATGACTTAAGGCAGAAATCTAAAGGATGAAGAAGAGAGAGAATGTTTTCCGCTCCAAAATCAGCCCTCTGGCTCAGGTGTAGAAGTTGCTGCTTGAAGCTAATACATTTGATTCCTCTCTGCTTATTCTCATACTTCCTATCTGCCAATTTGCTTTCTTGCAGGTCAGTGTGGAAGTGACATGTACCAATCTCATAATGTCATTGTGAAGACAGAGCAAACAGGTGAGTAGCAGCTGGGTAAAATGTCCTTTGAAAAGAGGGGACCCCTCTTCCAAGGGAGACAAATCAAGGTGGCATTAAATAAAATGGAAAGTGTATCATGCAGAATTAAAGAAGTAACACAAATGTCAGTCAGTGCCTACCTCTGAAGTTTCAGGTAATACCACATGCATGTGGCCACTTTTCCTGGGAGACCTCTGCAGTATAAGCAGTCTACACTGATGTTCAGAGTTGGAATAGTTTGAGGTGCTCCATGGAGGCAGCTTTGTAGAGGACTTCATTCTACACTTCATTCAGCAAATTTCAAAACAACTATTTTAACAATATGCTCCATTAAAAAAAAAAGAAAAAAAAGGAAGAGAGACAGGGAGAAAAAATATTTTGTTGTGAAGTGCTGTTAGTGTTTGAAACACAAGGAGATTTCCAAAAACCAACTTGGAGGCAAAACAAAATGTTACATTTTAAATGTTACATTTTCTTCACAGGTTTCAATGAAACTGAAATTCAGGCAATAGTTTGGTTTCATCAAATCTGCATTTTTGCCGTTGCAGTTTTTTTTCCTGAGTGTGTTTATAGCTAGATCCCTTTCCTCCCAGGGCTTTGTTTAACTGAGAAAAGAACTTCAGCTTGATTCAACCGTCCTCTTCAGGCACAATTATTTTCCTTGTTCCTTTGCCAGATCACGGCTGTCCATATCCACACACTCTCTATCCCACTAGTCCCAGCCTTTGTACGTAGGTGTGCCCATGAGCCATGTTTTGATATCTGCTGGCAGAACAAATACTGATCTGTTGCGTGTGGTGTCTCCAACAAATACTGTCAGCCTGTTTATCCACTTAACCTGTTGGAGCCCAGCCTCTCCAGCCAGGAACATTGCCCATATTCTCCTTGCAGCAGGCAGGGATTGCAATGTGCAATCCACTCCTGATATGGGAGATGTGCATGAGGCAGCCTTGCTGCTTTCCGTGGAGGTAACTCCAGTAATCCTTTAAGTCCTGATTTATGAGATCCTGGTGTAATGTTATTTCCTCCTTCTACTAGAGATGAGGGCAAAGCACCTCAGCTGCACATCTTGGAAAGGACTAACTGGCAGGTGGTTCTCCTGGTTGTGCTGAATCAGGAATGGCCTGGTGGGCCTCTGGTGGTGCCAACCACAGCCAGTGAGAGTGGGTTAAGTTTCTGCGTGTGGGGGAGCAAGAATTGTGGATTAGAACTGCTGGGAAAGTTACTCCTTCCCAGCAGCTCTAAGAGAAGCCGCAGGGACAGGGCTGGTGGTTTTGAGGGGAAGCTCGGCTCACTCCAGTAAACCATCAAAGCTGCAAAGACATGGGTACTGAAAAAGGCCAAAATGAACAAAGGTGAACACTTTTCCCGTGTTCTGGCTGGGTAAGGCCCCGTTTTCAGAGGCAACATTAGGCAGATCAGGTGTCCAAGCAAGCAAAGGGTGTGTGCTACTGTAGGAACGCAAGGTCTGGGTGCCCAAACATGCAGCTATTAGTTAGCATGCCTGCTAAATTCCTATGTCATAAGTGGTAACTTGGCCAAACATGATTATTTAGCTGTAACTCATTTTGGGGTTTTTGATTTCATTTATATGAACATGAAAAAAATTAGGTTTAACCTAGATTTGAACCTTCTATCTCATCCCTTCTGACCTGGTTTCAAAAGAAGAGATTTCTAAGGCTTCTGACCTTAAAAATGCACTGTGAAGGAAGTAATTTCCAGACCAGTGTACAGGTCATAAAGACACTACTTCTGTTCTGCTTATATTGATCCATATGACTAGAAGGTCACTAAAAATTATTCCTCTTTAATCATGAAGGTGGTTTGTAGGTTAAGGTTGGGGACTTAGTATGCCTGGAGTAAAATGGCCCTTCATCTAGAATTAGGCTTTGATGTTTCTCACCATGTGCTTAAACAAGAAGCTGTGTTTCAGAGAGGACTTTCAAGTTCTACCATTATAGAAATACATACTCATCATAAGCATCCTTCTTTTTTACTAGATATTTGAAAACACTTTCATCTGTGTGGCTCCAACGCACTGTCATAATCATCAGGGACTGAGAATTCAGGACTGGATTGGGTAGAATTATAGTTGATCTGGCATAGGAAACCTCCTCCAAGGCCAGGCATAAATGATATACTAGTCAGGAAAAGGAAGAGCATACTACATTCTTTCCAAAGTCAGTGCTTTTTGTAAATACATTTGCCTGAATATGCAAAACTCCATGCATAATTTGAGTGAAAGGAAATAATTTTGTACATAGACCCTTCACTTCTTGGTTCTCTTTTTTTTTTTTTCTTCACATTTTAAATTCTTTCAGTGGTCAATATTTACCTCTGTGCTCTGTGCTTTTAGTGATCCAATTTTCTTTTTGGTCCTTTACCTTCAGATCCATCATTAATGGTGTCCTGGAAAGAAGAGAATTATCTTTATGACAGTGGCTATGGTAGCACAGTAGGTAACTAATATCACAATACTTCATGCATTCTGAGATGGCTTTATTGTTGTCTGAGGCTATTAGTTTAAATGTCTTCTTTTTAATTCCCAGAGTTATTGGACAGTAAAACATTCTGTCGTGCTCAGATTTCCATGATGACACCTAGTCACCAATCTCCTGGTAAGAAACTTGTAATTATATTTTTAATTGTTTGTCACTTGTCCCAGAGCTACCGACATGTAATAGTCTCTGTGGTCTTCTGTTGTAGGATTGCATCTGAGCCTCCAGTAATTTTAAACCAAGCAATGACAATTCTGACAGATTTATTAGCTGTCATTATTACAATAGCTGTCTTTAAAGAAATGCTTCTGTCTTCTCTCTGTCAAGAGGAAGATGATCAAATAATCTGTAATCGCCACATATCTTTTAAAGTGACTGAGTCAAAGGGGTAAACACTGGTGTCAGAGAGACAAGACATTCCAGCTACACCACGCTTTTCTGTGGTGTAGCGCACGGGGCAAACAAGTGTCCCATTCCTCCCCAAAGCGGCCGTGCTCCCGGTGAGCCCGTGATTCATGCTGAGCAGGCTGCTGGCTTTGGGGCCGGGCTCGGCTTGGCCTGGGGCAGCTGTAGGGCAGACACCAAGCCCTGGCCCAAACATGCCGGCACAAGGGCTTCCTCCTGCAGCCTCTCTGAGCTGACAGCTCGCTGAACCCCCCTGCCTTCCGTGAGGGAGGGCTCAGATCTGCCTGCTGAAGGGCAGGAGACACAGCAAACCTGTTCGCTGCAGCGCCTGGCCCAAGTGCAGCCTGATCACACGTGGCGAGGGCCCTGTGGGCCCTGTCCGGGCACCAGGATGGAGGCGGGTGAGGCCGTGGGGGAAGAGTAAAGCCGAGGTGGCAGGGGAGCGAGAAAGCAGGGAGGGAAAGGCGGGCTCTTCTTAGGAGGCTGTTCAGCAGAGATCTGAGGGAGAAGGCACTGGAAGTCCTGGGAGAAGAAAGGAGAGTGTGTTGCTGTAGTCCAGCCTTGCACTGGGGGCAGCCATGTGCTTCTGCACGTGGCCGTGGCCTCAGCCCCTGTGCCTGCCATTCCCTGCTCCTCCAGCCTCCTGAGCTGGATTGGCCAAGTGACATACAGTTTAAACTAAAGCACTCAGCTACGAATTAACCAAAAAAAAAAAAAAAAAAAAAAAAACCCCAAAAAACAAAAAACAAAAACAAAAAAAAAAAAAACAAAAACCAAAACAAAAGGAAAAAAAAAAAAAAAAACCCAAAAACAAAAAAAAAAAAAAAAAAAACAAAAAAAAAAAAAAAAAAAAAAAAACCAAAAAAAAAAACCCCCCAAAAAATGAGAGAGGGAGAAAACTTGACCAGAAGAAGAAAACAACCAAACCTTAAAAAACCCCAATCAAACCCCAATCAAACACCCTGTTTGCTTTCTCCACCACCTCCACCCACTCTCACAAGATGGCTACCAGGATTTCAGGGCTCTCTGGCAGGGCTGGAGACCTGTCCAGATCCCGGCACAGTGTGTTTATCTGCTGACTGCTTAAGCCTAGAGCTAGGGCGGCACGCCAAGGGCACAGCCTCCTGTAAAAACTAAATTTGTATATCCCGTAAAAAAATGGCTCATTCCTGAATCATATGCAAATAATGTGTAACCTTTTGTCAAAAGTTTTGCAAGACGGCTTTGTTGAAACTGCATCATAACTCTTTTCATCTGTCAGGCCCCAGCCTCCTAACATGGCGTGTTTGAAGCCAGTCTCCATGTAGGAGCTGTGGCAGAGCAGGAGGCTATTTACACAGCTGAAATCCAGAATAAATCACTGGCTAGGCAGAAGGCAGCTGAACTTCCAAGAATAAATTTCCATCTAAGTGGAGCATAACAAACATTTGCAAGCGAATTGTGGAATTTTAAAATGAGAAGGATTTATATGAGGGCAAATAAAGAACTGGGTCCTGCAGTCGTTACCTGGAGTTCCCACAGGCTTTTAATAACATATGGGGAATCATAATCTGAGGAAAGGCAGTGAAATAAGCCTCATTTTACTTCCCCCACACCACACCCCCCTCCAAGCTGAGTGAGGTTCAGGCTAGTTCCTGCTCTTTGAGAGTAGGAAGGCAAAATGACTCAGAGCACGTTTGCTGCTTGGGGGTCAGGGGCAGTAATTTATCAGACTTAGAATAGCAGAGGTTAGGCCTATCCCCACGGTCTTGTTCAGTTTATGTTTCCAGTTATGTATGAATAAAGCAAGTGTGTGAATAACTTTGCATCTACCTTTTCACATGCAGTTATTGCAGTAGCTTGTGCAAATCTGACAAGTTTCTATGCAAATAAATATTTCCTGTGAGTCATTTTCCCATGCAAATGCCTGGTTTCCATGAAAAGTATGATAATTGTGCATTCATAGAAGCTGGGAAAACATGCGTGGGACCTTCAGCTTTGCTTTATGGGATTCAGGGACAAGGTATGCTGAAAAGCAAACACAGAAGGGGCTCCCTCTCAGGTCTATCCCACAGATTTTGTGAGACTTAGAGCAATCAGATGAAAGCTATTCATTAAGTACAAGAGCAGAGCCAGGCTGCGGTGGTTTGGGGGCAGGAGGGTTGAACGTGCAGACTGCGAGGTAGGTTACAGTCACGAACAGGCGGAACTTCTTTTTATTTCATTTCTGAAGAAATGTTTGTGCCAGAAATCCTATTTCTCCTCTGGCTGGCTGCAGGTGATAAAGTACCATTGATGAGAAATGGCTTGTTCCTATGGCTCTGAGCCACAGAAAAATATATGCTTGTCCTGCTGCCAAAAACTCCTACCAGCGTAGCCCCTTTCCCCCACCCTGCCCCCCTATACAACAGCACTTTGCCAGTTCATTATGTTTTAGTCAGGTAGGTGTTCTGTGCATTGGTACCAGCACATACATTTCCCATTAGATCATCTCTTCAGAAACAAATAAGCCCCCAAAGATACGTGCTTCAGCAAAGACTGAGATAATGGGACAATTCAGGATTCCTTTTACAGATGTGATCATCCTATTTTTCTCTCTCTCACACACAATATGAGGTGAGGTATTTGTTAATCAAATTTAGCTTTCAAAAGCCAAATGTTTACCTCTGCATTCATTCTTTATTCATCAGTGGTCTCTTTGAGAAGTGTGCTGATTAACATACAGTACAGAAAACAAAACTCTCCCTCCTCACTTAGATTACCTTCCGAAAAGTGATTATCTTTAGAAGAGATATTTGTTCTTTTTTGTGGTTTTATTTCTTTCAACCTGCTAGTCAATGGAAAGCCTTTAATCAAATTTACAAATAGGCTTCATTTTCCTTCTCTGCAGACTCTTCAGATGCAAAAAAATCGCAAGATCATACCCCAAAGTCCCACACCAAGAAGCACAGTAAGTCAACATCCATGCTTATAAGGGTTGGTTAGCTGATTGAAGGAAAAAGAAACAAATGAAAATCAGATCCTATTTGGGAGGGAAGAGGAAGCATTTTGAATGCAAAACTCATTAAATCATTATTGTGGGTGAATTCTGAAAGTATCTGAGTACCTTGTACTGCTTGTTTACGTCATTTTTGGACTCAATATTGTTAAACTTTTCAAATTGTTTTTATCAGTGAGGGCCTATGGGGAAGCAATCACAAACCAGCTTCCTCTGCCCTGTGTTGAGCTGGGCTGGTGGAGTGGAGCAAAGGAATGATGAGGAAGACCCAGGATTTAATCAGGAGGGCCTGTGCGTGGGCACAGTCATGCTCGTGCCTGTTCCTGCCAGGTGCAGCACACACCACAGACCCTGCTCAGCATCTCCTTGCAGAACTTCTCACACATGACATCACGAGCAAGCACCTGTGCCTCAATCTTGCCACCTTCTTATCCCCTCATATGACAGTCTCTCCACGCCCCTCACCTACATTTTCTGCAAGTTTTTATCCAACCTGACTCTGAAGACAGGATACCATAATTGTGATTTCTGTACATAATACCATTAATGTACTTTACTGAGATATTTTAATGCTGAAAATATCCTGTGTATGTCTTTTCCATCCTATTTATTTCCCTGATTATAATAGGAAAGCTTAGTATTGGTCTTTCACTGAATTTTGTGGTATTTGTGTTCATCCTGTTTCAATATGACCTCCAGATTATGTCTCTTCCTGACTCTTCTTACTCTTGTTCTGTTGCTTTACCCCAGCAGAACTCCTGAACTTTATATCTGTACACGGATATCTGGGTGGTGGGGTTTTGTTTGTGTGTGTGTGTATAAAAAGGTTGTTCATGAAAGGGTTAGACAGGTCTGGTCTGAAGAAAGACCTGTGAAGAACTGAGGTCTGTCAGCCTGTTCAGCTAGAAGACAAGGCTGAAGGCTGACACATCCCAGTCTTCAGCTTCCTCAGGGATGGCAGTGGAGGGAGAGGTGCTGATCTCCTCTGTCTAGTGGCCAGTAATAGGACATGAAAAAATGGAGTGGAGGTGTTCAAGGGAAAGTTTAGACTGCACAATAGAGAAGGTTCTTTACCCAGAGGCACTGGAACAGACTCCCCAGGAAGGCGGTCACAGCACCGAGCCTGACAGAGCTCAAGGAGGATCTGGACAATGCTCTTAGTCGTATGGCTTAGTTCAAGGACGTCCTGTGAGGAGCAGGGAGTAAGACTTGATGATTTTTATAGGTCCTTTCCATCTTGAGATGTTCTGTGATTCTAACATCTCATCAGTCACAGCCTTGGTCATATACAACAGGTGACATTGGCAGTCTGGGTTAATACCCCTCATTTCCAGTTCCTTCAGTACTGCTCCATATCATGACAATAGGTTACTGATGTCCAGGTAGGCTAGGTCCTCCACATTTTAATGGGTCCAGAAAACAATTATAAGAATAAAGAAAAATATTGGATTCTTTGATTGAAATCTAATTCTACTTATACTGCACTGCATACCATTTCCAAGTTACCTTCACATCTTTGACTAGCTTGTTTCCTTCTTAATTTGATCTAATTGCATGCTTTTGAAGTCAAACCAAAGGACTGCTGTCTTTCTGGCTCACTGTGTTTGTTATTCTTCATTTGTAAACTACTTAATCTGACTTGATGGACTTTTTTTTTTTTTGACCTGGACTTTTTTATAGTAACTGTGAGACATATTTGTGATTAAAGTGAGAGGTCTACCTGTTGAGCTTGGAGATCTGTTTTCGTCTTTTCTACACCATGGTCAAACTTTTTGGTTCCCTTTCTATGTGCAGTTTTGGCTGGCCAGTTTTGTCACTGTCCTACACCTTCTTACTTACTCATTCATACAGAATGGCAGTTCACCTCCCATGCCTTCTGTCTGTCTTTTAAATGCATGGAGTTTCGGTGCCTGCTTCATGGTAGTCTCGGCTGTTTCATGTGCCACACAATAATATCAGGTTACATGCTGTGCTGTAGACAGGGATCAGGAAAAATGGGCAAATGAGATGAGGGGAAGGCTTAAATATGTTCTCTTTAGGGCAGAAACAGTGCCAAAGGCAGAAGGAAGCAGTAGGTGGTTTGGACTCTGCTTCCTCTGGTTGCTGGGGCTCCTACCTGCCTGCCTGAGGCCAATGCTTACCTGCAGTTGAAAGCTGCCAGTGTTTTTCACTTGTATATCTCTGAGGTGGGGGTCCTGTGTTCCAGAAACTATGGCCTAAGTGTTCACCCTCTGTAGATGACATAAAAATTGCAAGCATAGCAAGAGAACTCTTGAGACACTCCTTCCTGCACTCTTTGCTTTTTCAGACCCTCGAGGAACTCATCTTTGGGAATTTATTCGAGATATTCTTCTCAATCCTGAGAAAAACCCAGGATTAATCAAGTGGGAAGACAGATCAGAAGGTGTCTTCAGATTTTTAAAATCTGAAGCTGTTGCTCAGCTGTGGGGAAAGAAGAAAAACAACAGCAGCATGACTTACGAGAAACTCAGCCGGGCTATGAGGTGAGCTGGATGTTGCTGAGGAAGACCATGACACATACACAGACCAACTGGATGGAGAATTTGTCTGACTTTTAAAAATGATTTCTCAGCAGCAGAAGTTGCTTTCTTTGACAGTCTCTCAAACCAGTTTTGAGATTGTAGCACTATGTTCTTTTCCTCTCCTGTTTCTGCAGAATATATGATATATATATAACACAAACAATTGTTTATATATATATAAATTCTGTTTGGCTCCATCCAAACAACCAGTGTAGGAAGGGAATATGGTTGCAGAAACCTGAGAATGTTTAAATGTCCCATTAATGGCTGGAGACCTTGTTATTTCCAGCAACATTCAGAAACTAGCTATACCCCACATCCATTGTCTTAAAATCAGTGTTAGGATTTTCTTTCCTCTTTGATTTAACATTTTGAGAATTTTTACATATTTCTGAAATTTCAAAATGTATTTTTAAAAGGGTGCTGAGGTTTTTTCCTGGTCTGATTTTTAGATCCTGGCTTATCTGGAAAAAAACCTCTGTGAAATCTCATAAGAGTGTGTGATAAATCCAGCAGTATGCTTTGACCTGAAATGCGGTGAAATTCAAACTCAGAAGCTAATTAATATAAAGGAAAAAGAAAACATCCATTTTTCCTTCTCTTTCAATTATCATGATATTAGATATTATATATATATATCTTAATAGAAAATCAAGGCTTTTTAAACTAGCTAAAGGATTGTCTAGTTGGCAGTGACCTTTTAGGACCATAGGTGAATTTACTCTTATATCTTTTTCTGTTTTTATTTTAACAGATACTATTACAAAAGAGAAATCCTTGAGCGTGTGGATGGTCGGAGATTAGTATATAAATTTGGAAAGAATGCCCGTGGTTGGAGAGAAAATGAAAATTAAATATATCAAGAAATAACATTTAAAACACATGGATGTAAATATTCAAAGACTATTTTCTTATATTTATGTATCAAACTGGGGTGAGAAAACAATTCTACTTCTGTCGGGAAGAAAGAACATTATCATTATTGGTGTTAAAATTATTTTATTTGAAGTATGTCCTGTATGGGGAAAAAATGTACACAGTTTTCTGTGATATAAGTTAACATTATAGAATTATGATTATTTTTCCCTTCTTGTGAAGTTCTCCTCTTTTTTAAAAAAAATCATACAGGCATAATGTGATTTATGAGTCATGTAAAGAAAGGGAAGGAGCTAAATATTAGGGCATTTAGAGAGTATGATAATCCACTTTGGAAGGCAACAATAAGTGGAGGAAACAGTAAAGCATCTCTGAGCCAAGTAGCCTTCTTCCACACAGTCAGATGGTTTATAGCTTTCCTTGGCCAATACCACTTGTTCCTTCCTTCCTCTGATTTCTGAGTGTTTTAATACTTTGCTGGCTTTAGCTGCTTTTCTTGAATTAGACAGTGGGTTCCTCTTCAGCTGGCTTATCCCAGCCACAAGAACAGTGGCTCTACAAGGTGGCTGTCAGCATTTACTTGGAGAACCCATACTACCTCCACCACTGAGACCTTCTTTTGTGGGCAGATATTTAGGACCAGACCTTATCTGATACTCAGTGTTGTCCCTAACCTCCACAGAGCATTCAGCTCACCTCAGGAAAAAAGTTATTTTTGGTTAACTAATATCTTGGGGTGAACTGCTGGAAGAGCGTAGATCTTGGGGACCAAAAGCTGTTGAAAGAAGATTGTTTTCTGACTGGGCAAACTTATTAAAAGGCACTGATTTCCCAGTAGGAATGTTAATAATCCTCTCACCCTCTTGCACTTCTAATTAAAGCTTTCAAATCTGTGCCATATGGAGCAGTGAGGAGGTGGGCAAGCAGAACATTTATTAATCCCTTGGCATGATGAAGCAGTCTCCCCAGTCACTTCAAGCTGTGGTCCTCCCGGAAGGTTAAGTCTCACTTGGACAGTTACTTTCAAAAAACCTTTGAGAAATGCAAAGCTAAACTGTGTGTAAAATATTAGTTCCCTTTGCTTTCCTCAAGTCTAACTCTATACTGTACTTATATTTGTCATTTGTGCTTGGGATTCTTAGTTGGAGGAAAAGCCCCATTAACATAAAGACACTGAGATTTTAGGGACATTCAGATCTGGGTCAGTATTTTGGGTTCACCTCTAGCAGCACTATGCAGACACTGAGCGTTCATCAGCAGCTTTTCCTTTCTCCAACTCACACATGCTTTCTGCCAGCACTGAGCATATGCAGAACACAGGGAAATAAAATCTAGAGGAGGCAGCACTTCACGAGGTCACTGAGTACGTGAGATGTGGGAGTCGAGAAACAGGATTGTCTTGGTGATGTTAGCAGAGGTGAAACCAAGATCAATTTCAAATGACTTTTTCAGGGATTGGAATTTGGAAAACAATAACAAGGACTGAGCAGTTCAAAATTAAAAAAAGAAAAGGAAAAAAAAATGAAAATCAAGAATATTAAATCCATCCAATATCTATTTCCTGAGGCATCCCCTGGGTTTGAATCCGTATTATCTTGAAATACATCAAGATACGGCTGGAGGTTGCAGGATATTCCATTTTTGTTTGTCTTTAAAGGAAATAGAGATGAAACCAAGAGACAACAGAAGTATCAATATGAAGGGTATAAAACGTGCTTAGCAACAATTTGTAGGCAAACATGAGAGCCTAACTTGTTATCTACACATGTAGGGCATGTTAAACAATAGCACCACCTCCTACACTGTGTATGCGAGAGCTGTCACCATCAATTACCCATACATGACAATTTTTACTTTTCATAACCTGGGTGGAGAGAGCTTCATCTTATTTACAAATCAAATAATAAGCCTGTGTACTTCAAAGGATTTTTTTTTCTCTCAGTCTATCTCTCTTTGGTTTTGGTTCTTTTTTTTTTTTTCTTTTTTGACTGTCTGTGCTAGCCTTGCTTGCTTTTGCAAATTCAATAATTTCATTTTTTAGCTTAATTTGCTACATTTCACTTCCTTTATCATCATTTTGTAGTTCATGTAACAAGGATCAGGCCACCAGATGAGAAGAGCACTTTCACTTTGCTCCTAAGACCATTTCTTCCCCTTACCTGATGGTTGTTTGTAGCCCTTTGCTCTATGCTCTTCACACCACCTCCACACCCTGGGTGAAAATCTGAGATCAGTGGTACCATCACAGATCTGCAATGCAGTTGTACCTTATCTTAGGTTAACATTTATCTTATAGCAATGAATTGTAATACTTCATGAATTTGCTTTCTACCTGATCTCTCACAAAATTTCTTGGGAGATAAAATGAACCTGCGATATATGTGTGTCACCACTTGGTTGCTGAGCAGCAGCTCAACCTGCTTTTAAAAGGTTTTGAAAGATGAACCCGTACTTAGAAGCATTCTGTATAAATTGAGAGAGTGGTTTATGTTGGGGTGCAGTATAAATGTTCTTCCACTGTCACATCTTTCAGCACGTGGAATACATGCAAGTTTCTGTTTCCACCCTGCAGAACTTTGCAGTGTTGTAGGTACTTGTCATTCTGCATTACAATAGCACAAAGTTGGAATAGAAGCCAGCCAACATTTACTCTGTTTCACAAACCTTTGCCTAAGACAAACACAAAGGACTGTTTAAAATTACAGTTCTTGCCAAGACAGATGCAACCAACCAAAAAGTCTTTTTACCAGACCTAAGCAAACGGAGAAAATGAAGAGATGAATTTTATGTAAATTGCTATTTAAACAAAAAGCATTTCTGATTGCTCTTTTATTTTGTGTTTCAGAGGCTGAGCAATCATTTTTAGATGTATCCTTTAAGTTAGCAGCTGCTGAACTGGTAGCACCATGTGTATAGATTTTTATTGTACCATAATTTTTCGTATGTATAAAGCTCTAGATAGGAAAGTATATTGTATTTATACAGTCAGATGCAAATCACAACGTCAAAGGGTTGGCATGAGCACTCTCAATATTTTCTGCACAAAATTAGAGCAACTTGCTCTAAAAACATCCTGAGAAACTGTATGTAGGCTGTTGAACTACATAGACATTAAAATGTTTAGTTACATTTTCATGTTTCTTTCTGCAGCACATTGCATAATTCCTGCTTGCTTCTCACAGCATCGTCTTCAATATCTACGTGTGGAAACAAATCCAAGTTAGATATTTCACTATTGCCATTGTAAATCTCAGCTTGGAGACAATGTATTCACAAAATGGTTCTAAAGACTGTTTCTATTTTTGTGAATATGATACAAATTCAAATAAAACACTCATGAAAGAATATATTTGATTAATGTTTATCTTCCTTTTTTGTCTTGTGATTGGAAGTGACTAATGTGAATTCCTTCAGTACTGAAGAATATTTTAATATTTATGAAACGACTGCTGTGACTACAACAAAATCCAATAGCTTAAAATTACTAATATGTTGAATACCTGATCTATTGTGAAGATACTTGGTTTCCAAACCTGTTTTATGTCTCACAGGCCTCACCGAAATAATGGATTATGTCAACACAGCTAGATTGCCTTTCTCGTTTGGCTGCTAAACTTAACAAAGGCCTGACTTCAGCACTGATTTAACTTCAAGGTATTTTGAAGTGTGTGCAAGGGCTAGCCTGATTAAGGATGCCATTACTCAAACCGAGCGTTTCCTTTACTGAGTCAAAGCAGCTAAAACGAAGAAATCCTGTCCTTCATGTTATTTTTCCATCTAAGTGGTGGCTATGAAAAGGGGACATCTCTCCTGATTTACTCTTCAGCTTGAGGTAAAAAGGTGAAAATGCCTATGGTTAAAAGCAAGTCAAGGCAGACTCCTGTGGCATTTGCAGTGCAGGGGCTGTGGCTGTGCCAGCTGGGTGCGAGGGTGCCGTGTGTGGCCATCCTGTAGCTCCTGTGGTGCCCTGCTGGGTGTCCCGGGCTGGCAGCATGAGGTGGTGCAGGGCAGCCAGTCTGACAGAGAGCTGAGCCTGCTGCTGTGCCAGCACACCTGGAGTTGGGCTGGAATCTCAATCAGGAGCTTCACTGCAATAGGATAAACCACACCATCACACTCTATCATCTGCAAATGTGCATAATTTTAAGCAAGTGGGTGGTTCCCCTGCCCTTGAGATGATGCATTTGGGTGTTTGAGGACGGTGGCTCTAGAAGTGTTCAGTCTATATTGAATCAGCCCTATATTTAAACCTGGAATTTCAGAAGGGCTCCAACACTATGTCCACATAAATAGGAGAATGGGTTTGAATTTTGAACACAATTACAAACCTCATGTTTAGCATGCAAAATCAGTGTTCCAAGAGTGGTCATAGTTTGAGAACTTGGGAGTCCCAAAGTAGGTTTCAAAATGAATTGGAACTAGATTTCAGGCAAGTTCAGGCTGAGATTTAAATAAGCACAACTGGTTTTCCAGCAAATGGTTGGGGCTTTTGTTTCAAGCAAGCTGAGGCCAATATTTGCGACAAATACAGATGAGAATATTGTTTGGAAACATGCAAATAAGTGCACACTTAATAAACTCCCCCCACCCCGCAAAAAAATCCAAGCAAATCAAACCTCTTAACTCTTTTTTGATTGTCACTTAAAATTGAGGAAAACTGAAGCTTTCAGTTGCAGTCTAAGGCCACATGAAATAAAAATTCAAGGCAAAATTCAGTTTACAAATCCTGTGTAAATTGAGAAAAAATAAGAGGAGTGCTGTAAACAGTCTACCTACATCTTAACCTTATATAAATTTGGGTGCATATCTGCATCAAGGACAAGTAAGAATTGCTTCAGGTAAGTGAAATCTGGTACTAGCAAAAAAAAAAAGGTGATTAAGCGTCACCAATACTAATAGCTTCCAATAAACGGGTTAGTTACAATAATTTGAAAGATAGGTTATCTATCTGGGTTTTCACTACTTGCTCGCTTGCTGATGAAGACTTGCACAATGCAGTCTAAGTCCCAAACTTTGTGCAAGCCAAGAATTTTCTCCAGCAACCACCTTTTCCCCAGGTATTTAACTCCTTCAGTCACCTCGGTGTTAAGGAAGATAATAGGGAAAGAAACAAATAAAGCAGGAAGAAGTGACTGGGTAGATGACCAGGTCTTAATGCACCAAAAGTTCTGTGTGGAAATACAAAGGCTGTATGTGAAAAAAAATTTAA